AAGACATCTATAAAAATGCCCAAATTCAGAGAAAAAGTTATGCTAAAAATAATAGGTACATTTAAAAATGCCCGTTTTTAAAAAAATATTTGTCACGTTCATTTTGGAGATTATTAAAATATCTAAATTTCCAAAAACTTTAAAAAACCTGTTAAAAGTTTATAAATTAGAAGTGTGTTAATCTAGAACAAGTCAAAGGGGGTTATTTTCTAACTTTCAGCTGAAAATGCATATCAATGAAAGCTCCAAGCAGACTTCTCAACAAAGTTCGATCACCAAAACGACAAGCATGTGATTATGGTATTCTCTAATCCGAGACGATTTTGCTATTCATATGTGATTTTAATTTTTGTTGTAATCTGTCATAATAATTATAAATCGTAAATGCTGATTTGTCTAAATATCTAAGGTTAGTATTTGAATTTCATGACATTATTACAATTATAAACTCAATTAGAATATATTAAGGCCAATTTCAGAATTGTAAGGAATCAAAAACAATAAAAATCATACATTTGCTGACATTTTAATATTCAAGTCATAATATTTGGATGTATATTTTAATGTTTGACTTATCTACTTCCGAAAATAAACTTTTTTGAATGCGCTTTACTTTTTTCAAATACGAACAGCACAACAAGTAGAGAATACCAAAACGTTTGTGCTTTACACTTTTGCTAGTTGTCGCGTTTATGGAGGGAGCTGAGTGCTTTCAAAAATGCTGGTTAGACAATAAGCCCCCGTTTTAACTCAGCGGAGTAGAAGAAGGTTTCAATCTAGAATATCTGTCAATATTCGCTTCTAGCATATTTATTTAAGAGACCAAAAATTACATGAGTGAAAATGCATCAGAAGCAGTCGAGGTACCTATGTATCTAGTATTAAAATAAAAATAATTAAATTTGGGGACATACATTTAAATATAATATGTAGCCCATGCACAACTTCGGTTCCTATGGGATTTCCACTAACCAATTTTATCCTTGTTTTATTTATAATTACCACTGTTGATACTTTTATATTGTATTTTTTTTATTAATTTTATATTGAATTAATTTATAATTTAATTCTTGTATTGTTCTTCAATTTGCGTTAATTGTATGTTAATACATTTTTGGATAAAGCTTAATTGAGTCTTATATATAAAACATTTTTATCACACACAAGTTGTACATAGACAAAATTTAATTTATGTGATTTATTTGATGTATACAGGAGGTTTTTCAGACATTATACACATACCATGTAGGAATAAACTAGCTAGATACTGGCGTCAAATATCTGGAATTATTAATAATTGCTCTCGTGAAAAATGAATGCATGATACGGATTTTCTATTCTTACATAAGTTGTTAAATTGATGTAATATTATTTACCAGAAGTTACTTGGCCTCGGTCGTAAATTTATGATTCGGCCGTAAAAGATCAACTCGATACTTACAGCCTTTGGTACACAAATATCTATTTTAATTCTATAAATGTAATTAAAAATTTATGAAAAATGTATTTCTCATCTATAAAATTGTTATTTATGATAAAGAAATAGTTTGGTTTATAAAAACAAAAATAAAACCTGAATCGATAACAAATCAATGAAAATGTTGCTAGAGTTGGGGACGTTTTTATGGAAAATTGTAATGTTACTATTTTACTAATAAAGCTACAGTTAATTTATCTTAGCATTTGATTTAAATATAAATATATTATCCGAATAAAATTAATGCCGTTAGTCAAGGTTTAAAGGCCTCGTCACTTCAACTTTTTTATGCGTCTAGTTTATATGTTTGTGAAAAGAGATCTATTGTTTCTATTAGGCTTAACAGACTCCATTAGATCTTTCTTGGAACAAGATTACAGACTATAAAGGTAAGTTTCAACAAATTTATAAATTGGTGTCTATCCATTATAAATTACTTTCAAAGCATATAATATTCTTAAGAAATGATAAAATCTATTAAATATCATTTTTTTTATATTTTTAAAAATAAGTAACTGCCTTAATTCCTATTTTTTGACATCCCTCGTATATGCTAAAAAAAATTGGGAAAAGTAAATTGGATTTTTTTATTGTTGAGTTTCAGAAATATTAATTTCTCCTGGTTTTAAAATAAGATGAAATGATTAAAACGGACCTGCAAAGGCACTTTGTGCACCAATCTCACCAGTACTCCTGTGACCTAAGGGGTATATTCAGTTTGGTTTACTTTTTTTCAATAGGGATTGTTGTTCCATTTTAAATATAAAGTTTACTGATATCTACCTATAAACAATATTAACAGTGTAATTATTTGAATTATAAATATCGTTTATTACATTTAAATAAAAAATAGAATTTAATTTTTGTAAAATGAAATTTTATGCATGAGTTGCATTGTTCTTTAAATTTGTTATTGACAAAATATTTACAAAATAATGCTTTGGATTCTAATGAAAAAACTATTTGATACGCCCATGGAGACCACGGCTGTCAAAAGTTCGTAGATACTAGAGAGTTTTAGCAAACATCCGCTAACCATCCGCTAACGTTACCTTAGGGATATACTGTAATCTACCCCGTTTAATGTCTATCAAAAATGTCACAATCTAAGTTTAACGTAACGTTAGCGGAGATCTTACATACATTTGCTAAAACTCTCTAATGGCTTCAAACAAAGCCTATGTAAAACTGCGCACGTAGCACATCTATATTTCATTTGTTTATCTGAGGAGAATACCGATCAAGGAGAAGCGACCGTAGCTGTCGGTGCCTTTGATATCGGATGTACCTTTTTCACAGTATGACTTTGACTGAACACAACTTAGCACGCTGAGAAAACATGCCTATTTTCTACACTGAGCGAAATAGTTTGGCAAATTATCTGAAATTATTGTTATAGTCCATGCGTAAATGTTGCAATGTGATTTAATTACATTGAAGTAGTTAGGGTTAATAGCAATGCTGAAATTTCGGCACCAAAATATAATTCATTATTAATTATTTATTATAAAAGTAAAAGACGTTTAATATTTTATAATTTATCTATAAAATTTGTTCAATATTTGGTTTATTTATTGTTAAAAATGTAATAAAAGCCCCATATTTAAATTAAATTACCTTTTCCTTAACTAAAAATAAGGTAAATAAAATTAAGGGTGTCAAAAAAAATTTAGGTAACAATTAAAAAGACATTAAGTTTGAGAGGTTTAACTAAATATTTGCAATGTGCATATATTTTCAAAGCTTTTAGGTATAAAAAGTACTTACATATTTTTAAAATTTCTAGATTTATATTATATTTAAAGGACAAGAAACAAGTGTATTCTCGCCAAGTTAAACCTGATGTCATTTAAGGTTTATGTATTTAGAGTTAAATACCTGGCCTGGCTATTACCCAGACAATACAAATATGTCCATTGGACGTCCATTCGATATACAATTTTGGATGTTTAGACATCCAAAAATAAGTTTTCTGGACTTCCGACATTCAATGGACGTCTAGTGAAGTATACAAATGGCACACTTTTGACCATTCAGAGGACGTCCAATTCTGGAATATATTTGGACGTCGAATACTGGACATTCAAAAAACATCCAGGATTATATTTCCATTGAGACCACATCCCCACTTTTTTACAGAACCGCAACTCACCACACACTATTTTATATTATTAATAATTTGTTTATTATTTTCGCAAATCGCTATACACCATTTATTTATTTTTTATTAAAAATCGCTTGACCTGAGCAGGCATCGAAGTCACGACACATCCATTATCGTTTCACGCTTTCAAACGCTAGACGAGTTCGACCAAGGAACCACTTGAAAACTTTTTACTAGATACAGTTATAATTGAATAAGATTTTAAACTTCCGCAGATAGAATGAAATGCAATAGATTTAATTTATCAATTTTTAATGACCAGTTATATTAAAAAAAAGAAGTATATATAGATGGGTATTATTCGGTAGACTTCATAAATAATGAAATAAGATGGACGTCCACTGGACGTCAAAATACTACTGAACTTAAAATTAAGTCCAAAAATAGACATTCTCTGGGTATTGATATTCAGCTGTCAATTTAATTAGCATAAACGGACGTACACTGGATGCCCGAAAATGGACGTCCTGACCCTCAAATAGATCTAAAGTGGACGTCCATTGGACTATGTGTGCATAGTCGAATTTTTAGAAATAGTACTTATTTAAGTATGCACCAATATTTCTAAAATCAACTCCAGTATGATTCATTTAATACATGTAAATATGAATGGGCAAAACATCTTTATATTGACATAATTGTAACTTACAATTTAGCCATAATAAAGTGATTTTGCCCATTTTGACCAATCCTAATTGAAACACGCGAATTTATTATATTTTTTTAAATATAATTTCAAAATAAAATAAACAAAATCTGCAGTTCATTGTTTCTTAAATTTATTTAAAAAAAGAAAACCATATATATATTTCACAAAATACAATACCTACATATGAAAAATAAAATGTCCAAAATGATAAATCATCATTATACTTAATATTTATGCATGTGATAAAATTCTTAGTTTCCTAATAACTTTTTTGTCACATTTTATATCTGTATTAGAATACCTAAGTGTGTAAAAATCTTTATCTTATTACTACACAAAACAAACACCAAAAAATATCACTTAACATTGCTCACGTACTAAACACAACTTGGACTGAATTTGACAGATAACATAATTTTGAGTGATACACAACTTATTTTTGCACATGCGCGTTACAAAACGGTACACTAAAAACACCAAGCTGTCGCTTCTCCTTGATCGGTATTCTCGGGTTTGATGATAGACATTGAACGTTAATGTTATCAGTTGAAGTTATTGTATCAGTTGAATTGAGTTATTGTAAAAGTTGAGTTCAAATAAATTGTGATACTGCAAACCAGCGTAACATTAAATTATGTCATAGATAATCAAAATTTTCGAATAATGTAACATTAAATCAATTAAGAAGCTCAATCTTAAACTAAAAGTTTTTAAAAAATGTTAAAGTAAGTTCGTTATCAAAATGCCTTCCAAAATTTGTAAAATAAATCCCAAAGAGCAAAAATCTTTGACGAAGAGGGAAACGTCCGAAAATGTTCTTCCCAAGCATCCGAAAACTATGCATACCAAAACGGCCGATAATATATTAACTCTCAAAAATCAAAACGTATTGACTCCACAACTAAATAACATTGATGACCTTATCCAAAAATTACAATCCACACCTATACTGATTACTTTATATCTGGATTTTAAGAAAATCGTATCGAATTACGACGACGAAGTCATAAAAAAATTAACCCCGCTCATGGTAAACGTTCTAGAATGTATAAACAGCCTATCAAGTAAATAAAGATTATAATTTTAAATTTCATTTACTCGTACCTACCTTTACTTATGATGACCGCAGAACGATACAGGGTGCTGCGTAACAATATACTATTAAACAAAAAATATGATCAAATAAATATTCCCAACATACAATCAACTGTAGTAGTACTAAATTTAAAATATTTTTATATTCTAGTTTAGCTGCTATGCTCCTAACAACAAATAATTTGCCCACCCTTTGTGTCCAGTTAGGTATAGATAAAAACAATGTTAAACTATTAGAATAAGCCTCTATAATCTACTTTTTTAATTATTATTTTCTTCCAATATGTACCTTAAAAAAAATTTTAATAACTGAATTCCAAAAGTGAATCGAAAGAATGTATTTTAAATCATTTAAATAAACGAATATAACTATAATCGTTAGATATATTAATCGACATAAATTTAATTGCCTAACTACCTGCTTAATTACTTCTTTATACTAATATAATTCTTAAAAAAAAAGCGAGTGTTCACCTATTAGGTTGTTCTTTGGCTAGCCATCAGGAACTGGCCAACAATTTATTCGAATTCACGAACCTTGCCAGGATGTATTTTGATATATCTACATTGTGAAAGGTTCCAAAAATGTAGATATATATGTTTCCGGGGTGGGACCAATAACAAAGCAACCGACTTCGTATAAATAGTACACGAGGTGATCGAAATGTATCAATTCCACTGACAAGTAGAAACATGACATTCAAAGTAAGTGTTTTTTGTTTGTTAAAAAGTGATATTTGTGAAATTACCCAATAGTTTAGTGTAGATGAATTTTATTCATAATTTAGTATTTTTTTTATAATTTGCTTTCCTTCATTTCTTATTACTTTCTTATTGATCAAGTATTCCACCACAGTATTATCATCCTAAGTTTTTTTCCACACTTCTTTGATTTTGTTCATTGGAATATAAAAAGAAAATAAAGATCTATCTTTAATTGCGTTCATTACACATAAGCATGCTTTGCAAATAAATGCATAAAATACTTTTGCAGCAACAATTATTCAAATTTATTTTAATTACAGAGTGTCCCAATGAAAAGTAGCCCATTTCTAGAGCTTATAACTTTTAAAGAAATCGTAGAAACGTGCGGTTTTTTCTGATATGTGTTACTTTGTTACAAATTTTGCTTCAGTGACACAGAAATTATGTATTACCCATAGAGGGTGTTTTTTAAAAATCTCCTCTTTTAAATTTACCGTAACCAAATTTTATCAAATGGAAACGGGCTACTTTTCATTGGGATTAAAATCAATGATTCTTATAAAATAAACATATTAATGTAAAAATTCAAAAAGCCTGTTCTTATGTTACATTTCATTATCCTTAATAGATCGGCTTCAAATGTTAAAATAAAGAAAATGCTTGCTGATTTACTGATATTGTCACACTTTAATCAATATGACATGGTCTGCGAACATTTCTTGCGTCAAATAGATTAAAATAGAATTTAAAACCCACAAAATGGATGTCTATCTATATTATATAATTTTCAACTTTACTAAAATATTTTATTTTATTTTTACACTACCTATATAAGAAATTGAATATCTTTATTTATCTTGTTAGTCACTATTTTTGTCTCCATCTATTGTAGATTTTCTTGCTTATTTTCATTTAAAAATTCTATTTTTCTCGTCTTTTTGTCCTTTATCGTAAAAAAATTTATCTTACATTTCACAAAAAAATTTTTTTTTTGTAAAAACATTGATTTATAATGCGTGAAATACTTTTAAATTCCAATCTAAACCAAAATATTGATTAAAAATGTTGATAGTATTTAAAAAATATGCACAAGTTTAAATTATTGTACTTGTTTTTAAGTGGTGTCGTTTTATTTTATTCAATAATTAATCCAAAATCAATGCCAAAATATGTATTAGAATTTTATAAATGTCAGTCTTAATTATAGATTTCCAAACTTTATATAAAGATAAACTTTTTTGTGAAATGTAACATAACTTTTCTTCCATTTGTTCTATTTGTAAACAAATTTTTAAGACCATCTATTTTGTAGGTCGTAGTCTTCGCCGCTCTCGTAGCCGTTGCCCAAGCCGGCCACTTAGGAGGTCTCAGCTATGCCGCTCCAGCCTTGGTAGGTTCCCACGACTCCGTCTCCAGCTACTCCACTGTCCAACACCACGCTCCAGCCGTCCATGCATATGCAGCTCACTCTCCAGCCGTCCACACATACGCAGCTCAAGCTCCCGTTGTCCACGCCTACTCCGCACCGGTAGCCCACGCTTACGCTGCTCCAGTAGCCCATGCCGTACCCGTAACCAAGACCGTCATTGCCGAAGCTGAAGCACCAGCCCACTACGATTTTGGCTACGCCGTAAGCGACCCTCACACCGGTGATTCCAAAAGCCAACATGAATCAAGACGTGGGGATGTTGTACAAGGAAGCTACTCCCTGTTGGAATCCGATGGAACCAAACGTACCGTAGACTACAGCGCTGATGCCCACAACGGTTTCAACGCCGTCGTACACAAAGAACCTGCTCATGTAGCCGTCCATTCTATAGCCCCCGTTGTCGCTAAAGTCGCCGCTCCAGTAGCTTACGCTTCCGCCCCTGTAGCTCACGCCTACTCCGCCCCAGTAGCTCATGCTTACACTGCTTCAGTAGCTCATGGTTATGCTGCTGGTCCCGTAGCTCACGCCTACAGCTCTCCTGTAGCTCACGGTTACGCTGTTGCACCTGTAGCTCATGCCTACAGCACTCAAGTAGCTCATGAATACGCAGGTCACGGATACGCAGCTCAAGCTCCAGTTCTTTCTCATGGATATGCCGGTCATGGTTATGCCACCCATGGTCCAGTTGTCAACGCACACAATGTCTGGTAAATGGTTTCGAAAATGTTTGTAGATTTGTAAATAATTAATTTATGAAAAATATGCAAAGCAATAAAAAATTGTTCAAAAAATTAAAATTTTGGTTTCATTCGGTACATTGTTTTTAGTATTACTTCGATTTGAATGGAACAAACGGTATTTAACTGGAACTGATATTTGGCTGTCATTTTAAATAAAAAAGCATGCACAGTTTCATTGCCGAAAGGGTTTAATGTTTATTATTACTAGGTTAACATTGTTTATTATTATAGAAAGCAACTGATCCTTTTTTCCGAGATTTGATTTTTTAACTATTTTGGCCTATGAATTTGTAATTTGATCTAATTAATTTAATTTATCTAATTTTGATGTTTTATAAAGAAACGTATAAATGAAAGTTGATGTGTACTGCAGTAGATGAATTCTGCAGTTTTTGGATAACACCTTTGCCAGTAATATCAATAGTAAATCATCATATTGTCACCCTTTATATAAATTCAGGTTTTCAAAGATAATTCATTACTAAAAGAACACCCTGTACATAAATACTGTTTAACTCATTCGCGGATTTCTCTTAAATTTCACTCATGTTAATGATTTAACAATTATTAAACAAAACTGAAAGCAATCTCGGGGAAACCCATGGGGCTTTTCCAACGGGTAGAATTCTCTGAGTAAAAGACTTTCCTGATAGGGGATTATTAGTAGTGACTCTAGAACGCGAAAACTCCGACTGGAATATATAGATTCTATCTCGAAAAGTTGAATCGCAGTTTGGATTAATAAGTCGAAGTTTGTGATATTGAAATTGGTAACAAATGTATTGTGCTGGTAAAATGACACGAGTTCGCAATGTCAATATTATGGTTAACTCAGTTATATTGGGCTAATTTAAACTGATATAAAGGGACCTATTGTCGATGAATGACTAATCTTCAATTTTATTCTAATCCATTTTCTTTTAATGAATTGATAAAGTTGCAGTATTGCTATTTTAATATAAAGAACCGGTCCCAACACATGGCTCTGCGGGACACCTTTAATTTCTTTTAATTTGCTTCGATCTATTGATAAATGTGATTAAAAATTTCGTCGTCTTATCCAGAAAATATTTTCTGTTGTATCTGTATTTTGTTCGGTTGCCAAACGTTGTCAAATGTTTAAGCCAATTCATGGAATATAGCTAGCTGTACATTATAATAATATGGTCGTAGAAAGAAGTGAATTATTTCAGTAATAAAAATTATAAAACCTATGACAGCTAACTTATTTCAGTTTCCTGTATAATTTATAATTTTCGAAAATTAACTAAATTATCCTACTTAAAAACGTGTTCCACCAAATTAATTACCTTTATATAATATCAGATTACCAATTATCGTAAGATAATATCATTTTTATAACCTACAAGATACGCCCAAACCAAACTAAATGAAAAAAAAAAATACATTATAATTGGATGCCCGAAAATGCACTCTATTAAACCGTCAATTAAGCGATTCTTTAGATCACTAGGTCAATGTCAGTTTCGCGACATTGTCTGCCACATTACCAATACACCCATAACTTACCGGTAGGTATATAGTACAGGAGAATGATACAATAAATTGGATTTTCTTGGATCGAAGACTTGGAATCTAGTATCATTTTAAAAAAATTACAATCTTTATTAATAGAACATAATTAGATGTTACCTCAAAATAATTATTATATTTTTTAATTTTAATTAAAATGCATTTATTTTTCTTCCTAAGAAGGCAGAAAATGTTTGTTTACCTACTTTAAAATATGAAACCAATACTGAAAACTAAAAAACTGAAAAATTGCACTTTTTATACTTGTAATATCTTATATCTCAAAGGATAAGTATTGATGTAGAAAGGGACGTCACACTATGAAGTCCGAGTGTCTAAATATGAATTATAGCTGACATGAAGCTGTTAAAAGAAAGCTGAAGGTAAAATTTCATTGTTTTGCTATATACTTTACAAAAAAAAAAAAATTACACAATGTGCTAAAAATACAAATACCATGTTTTTTTACTTCTCTTTATTCGAACAAAATTATCGGTTTTTCCACCTTACTACTAGTCTACATGTTACAAAATACACATTTTTTATTGTACAGTTTATACAGGGTGTTTGCAAATAAATGCGAAATATTTTAGGGGGTGGTTGCTTAAGTTATTTTGTTAAAAAAGTTAACGCACCATTTTCTTTTTATAAAAAAAATGTGGTATTCTCTCACGAACGCCACTGGTGCAAGTAGAAATATTCGTATCATCCCAAAAAATACACATTTGTCCGTACAAAGCGTTTTGCAAATTTCGAATCAATGTCCTTAAAACTCTTATATTAATACAAATAAATTAAAATTTAAATACTCTGTATCTCAAAAACGACGCGTATTTCGACCTACATTTAAAGGACCTTTTTTTTAACAAAATAACTTCGGCAACGGTCACTTATTTACAAACAACTTGTATAATCCCTTTTTAAATGAGAATCAACATAAATTCTTGGTCATTTTATTTATTTAATTATTTTGCTAATTTAAATTAATTCTTTAAAAATGTTATTTTCCTGTACTAATAGATACGCATTCAGTGAAAGTAATTTGGTTGGTAAGAATGTCTATCAGATGAACAATATTGACTGGCATTCTGCTCTAAATACTTAAAATTATTTTTGTTGGTGTTATTTAAGTGTTTGGGAAATATGGTACAATAATTAATATAATTACCAAAGTTTAGTTAGTGACCAATAGCTAAATTGTAAAAAAATTGTTTTCGATTATTTTTTGATTCTGCAATACTGGAATGATTTTAAATTTAAAAATTATAATTCGTAAACTTGCCTTTCTTTATTTTATTTTTAATATATTCATATGGAGATATTTATATAATAGGTTCTAATAAAAATTACTACAAAGTTTGGTCAAAAAAGTTATAAATAAATAATAAATTAATAAATAAATTCTTTATTGCTCAACAGATATAACATCCAAAGATAGGACAAAATATAACATTAATAGATTTTTAAGAGTAAATATTAATAAGTAATAAAATAAATAATAATAACAAAATATATAAAGCTAAAAAAAAGTTAAAATAAAAATTATAAATTAAATTGACTCTGCGCAAAACATGTTCAATTCAAGTTTTTCAAAAAAAAAAAAAAAAATGTGTATTACAATTCAGAAATAAGTACTAAGATAATAAATAATAATAACAAAATAAATATAAAGCTTAAAGTAAAAATTAAAATTAAAAATTGAGAGTGACTATGCGCAAAACATGCGTGAAACATGTTTCAAAAAATATATCACAATTCAAACATAAAATATTAACATTTTGGCACATAATATATATTGGTGATTTCATTAGCAGGTTAGTCCTGGGAATAGGAAGAGAAAACGTGTTGAATGTCCGTGCATTTTGTCGTGTTACTAAAAAGTAAAGTCCTTCGAGTAGAATAGAACAATCAATTATAGTATGAATTATTTTATAAATTGTAGAAATTGACATTAATTTTCTTCTATTTTCAAGGGATTGTACATTATATCCATTACGCAACAAATTTTAATCAAATCCGTGGGGGGATAGATACCCCTAACCTTGTAATTTAAAAACTTTAAAAATTTGCGTTGCACCCTTTCAATGCTGTTCTTCTGCAACTCTGTCTTCGGATACCAAATCAAAGAAGCATATTCCAACTTGGAACGAACTAATGAAAAGTACAGTGACTTTAAGGCAGCTTCAGTTCTAAACTTTTGATAATTGCGAAATAAAAATCCTAACATTTTATTTGCAGATTTAGTAATAGTATTAACATGTACACTAAAAGTTAGCTCCGAATCAAATATAACACCTAGATCTTTAGTTTGATCACACCTGACTAGTTCTTCATTATTAATGGTATAATTAAAATTTGTTGTGTTGACTTTTCTGCTAATACTTATAGCTTTGCATTTTCGTACGTTTAGAAACAATTTATTGCGCATACACCAATCATATAAATTATTTAATTGTTCTTGAAGGAACAAACAATCATTTATATCAGAAATTTCAAGAAGTACTTTTATATCATCTGCAAATAACAATTTGGAACAAGCGATATAATCAGTGACATCATTGATGAATTACAAGAAAAGTAGAGGACCCATATTGGACCCTTGAGGAACCCCTGAGGTAGCATAAAATAAATTTGATGAAAACCCATTATAAGAAACAAATTGTTGTCGACAAGATAAGTATGAGTGGAAGAATATTTTCATTGCTGATGAAAATCCAAATTGATCTAACTTGTTAACGATTACTTTTAGGTCGATTTTATCAAAAGCTTTTTCGAAATCTGTTAAAACTACATCTACTTGACCACAATTATCTAAAGTCTCATGTAAAAACTGAGAAAAAGATGATAAATTAGAAACAGTAGAACGATTTTCCATAAAACCATGCTGATGTACCGATATTAAACATTTAGCTAGAGGGTAAATTTTATTATAAATACAAATTTCGAAAATCTTAGCAAAATTATTTAAAACTGAAATAGGGCAAAAGTTATTAAATAGAGATGGATCTCCTGACTTGAGAATTGGACATACACGTGCGATTTTAAATTTATCTGGAAATATAGAAGTTTTTAATGACATATTAAAAATAAACTTAAGGAGTTTTATAAAAATATTTCTACAATCTTTAATTAAAAAACTGGGTGTACCATTCTCACCGGAGGTGATTTTAGCGGCTAGTTTGTTGATAACAAAAATAATATCTTCGTCACTAAAACTTTCGATATTTATACTTGGAAGATTATTTAAGTCCTCTGTTAGGATCGTATCAGATACTAATGCAAACACGCTACTAAAGTACTCAGCAAATCCATCTACTATGTTTTGAGGAGTGTCGTAAGAAACTCCTTCGTTGAACAGAATTCCCGGTATTCTCGATTTACCTTTTTTAGTTTGAATATATTTCCAAAATTCTTTAGGCTCATTAGAGACGGAGTTTT